AATTTAAAACTTTCCCTCGATACCGCAGGCCTTAATTTTTCTCAGAAGCCTCTGATGCGGTACTCTATCAAATGCTTTGCTAAAGTCTAAGTAAATAACATCGTAATTTTCGTCATTATCTACTACCTCGAAGACTTTCCTAAAAAACGTCAGCAGATTTGTTAGACAAGATTTTCCCTTTGTAAACCCATGTTGCGAGTCGTAGATTAATTTGCTTTTCTCTAGATGCAATCGGATGCTATCTGCTATAATTGATTCAAGAAATTTCCCCACTACTGACGTCAAACTGATCGGCCAGTAATTTGACGCTGATGCTCTGTCTCCCTTTTTGAATATGGGTACTACATTTGCCTGTTTCACAAGTCTGCTGGCACAACTCAGTGTCTGATGATTTTTGCAAATAAGTTTTACGAGGGGTCCAATCTAATCAGTTCCCTACACTCTTTCAAGACTCGAGAAAAATTTCTGTCCGGCCCTGGGGATTTTTGTTTCTTTAGTTTATTTATCTTCTTAAGAACATCCTCTTTTCTGATAGTGATATTCTTTAATTTCTCTTCTTCCTTTCCCTTAAATATCAGTTCCACCCTTGGAATTTCATCTCAAATTTCTTCTGTGAAAACTGATAGGAAGTAGCTGTTCAATTGCTTATTTCCTCACTGCCATTTATCAATTCTCCCCTCCCTGACTTTAAAGTGAGACCTCACTTGGATTGTGCAGTTCAATTCTGGTCACCATATTACAGAGTGAATATAGAATCTCTAGAAAGAATTCAGAGGAGAATGACAAGACTAAACCAGGAATTAGGAACCTTGAGTACAGAGACAAGTTAAAGCATCTTAACTAGCACTACCTCGAGAGACGTAGAGTGAGGGGTGATATGATAGAGGTGTATGAATGGAAGTCAGGGCTAAACAAAGGGGACATTACAAAGGTACTCAAACTATCCAACCAGGAGCGAACTCTTAGCAATGGTTTTAATTTAGACAAATTTAGATTTAGGCACGAAATAGGTAAACATTGGTTTCGAAATAGATTAGTGGATGAATGGAACAAGTTACCAAATATCATCATTAACTCGAATATGCTGGATAGCTTCAAACATAGGTTGGATGGATATATGAGCAATAGGGGTTGGGTGTAAATGGGACTGCCCAGTATGGGCCAATAGGCCTGCTGCAGTTTCCTCCATTCTTATGTTCTTATGTTCTTATTGGCTGGCCTTGGAGCTGGAAATACGTTTGAGTTTGTCAGTGGTAGATACCTTTTCAAGTCGGGTTTAGTTGAGTATTATATTCAGTGCTGCTCTATTATTATTCATGGTGTGTAAAGTGCAATCAATTAGTGTGCTGTAAGTTGATTTATTGTTTATACGTGGTGCCAATAGTAGTTGTTTATTCAGGATCATGTTTATACTTTATTCTCTTGATTTAATTCATCTTTTGGAACCTGCACACTTATTTTGGTAAAAAAAAATTTACATTTTATTTAAACCTTTTGTAATGAGTATAATTCCAAACCTTTACCCCTGAACTGTTGGGATAAGGAGAGGGGTGTGATTGAACCTAGGACTAAAATGTGCTGAGTTGCCAATAGGTTTTTGTTGTTTTGTTGTGCCTCATTAGTATATTAATCTCAAACGTAATTCAAGTTGATATATATATATATATATATATATATATATACATATATATATATATATATAGTATATATATATATATATATATATATAATATATATATATATATATATATATATATATATATATATATATATATATATGCAAGTAAATCACTGTAGGTGCACGCGATCCAAGTATATGCTGATAACCACAAAGGAAACAAGAAAACGAAGTTCCCAAGCGCGTGTATCTACATCTTCAGGGATGAGTACAGACTAAGGATAAATACTTGAGAAGGCTAATATATACAGTAAAGGAGAGTGAGATCAAGTCCCTAGGGGACAGCAGGGGTCAACAATGTTTCTTTGGATTAAGAAGATTAGTAAGGGTCGCTGCCTTATGACCTCCCGCACAAGTGTCTCACGGGACACTTACCTTCCCTTACAGGTGTGTGTGTGTGTGTGAGAGAGAGAGATAGATCACTTTCTTACCAATCCGTCCGTCCGTTAGTGAGAGGTCAGCTTCCATCCGCATGCCACCTGCGTTAACTAGCTTTATGAACGAGTTTACCTATTTTCTGACTGACTAATTGAGAGATGATTTTCATCCAGCATCTCAAACATAGATTGGATGGATATATGAGCTATAGCGGTTGGGTGTAAACGGGACTGCCCAGAATGGGCCAATAGGCCCGCTGCAGTTTCCTCTATTCTTATGTTCTTATTTTCTGATCTAGTACTAACTTAATAATTTAATTAATATAATTAACCTGACCTGACCTACTCACTTTAACTAACCTGACCTAGCCTACTCACTTAACAAACCTGGCCTACTCATTTAACTTATCTGATCTAGCCTACTCACTTAACTAACCTGACCCTGTCCTACTTACTTAACTAATCTGACCTGGCCTACTCACTTAACTAACATCGCCTGGCCGACTCACTTAACTAACCTGACCTACTCAATTAACCAAACCTGCCCTACTCACTTAACTAATCTAACCTACTCACTTAACTAACCTGACCTGGCCTACTTATTTAACTAAATTAATCTAACCTATTCACTTAACTAATCTCACTTGGTCTACTTACTAATTTAACCTGTCCTACTCACTTAACTAACCTACCTTGCTTACTCACTAGGTTAACTAATCTAAACTGGCCTACTCAATTAAATAACTTAACCTATCCCATTAACAAACTTAACTAACCTAAACTGGCCTATTTACTAAATTGCCTAACCTAACCTGACCTATTTTCTAACTTAAATAACCTAAGATAACTTAAACTCGCCTATTCACTAACTCAACTTACGAACTTGCTTACTCTCTAAACGAACCTAAAGTTAACTAACCTGACCTACCCAACTCACTAACTTAACTAATCTAACATCTCTTGTATACTAACTTAACCTTGCTTACTCACTAACTTAGCTAACCTTAAATTTACTTCTTTATATTCTAAATGTGAAAATGAAAGAATTAGTTTGTGTGTGTGTGTGTGTGTGTGTGTGTAAGCGTATCGATTATGAGTTTATCTCATCTAACTAGGAAAATTAAACACTAATTCCCAAACTATTTACACCCAGACATCCTCAAGGGATTTTGAAACTCCTTGAAGAGTTCCTGGAATCACAAGAGAGCTCTGGAGTTTTTTTTCCAATTGATTATAGTCAATTTAGGGACTAATTCCTATATATATATATATATATATATATATATATATATATATATATATTATATATATATATTTATATACATTTATATATATATATATATATATATATATATATATATATATATATATATATATATAGGTAGTAGGCATCTACCAAACAGGGAGGTACTACCGCCTGGGAAGATATTGGAAGCATAATATATCGTCAAATGGTAGACCCTGCTGCCATATGGCATCACGAAAATTGTGACCAAGTCCCAGGTTGCTGATGTGACTTTCGTTCATTTACACACAATTGCAGGGTCTCAATTGTTTTCTTACTATTGACGGCACAACATACATATATTGTTTCTCACTTTTGATTTTTTTTTAATTTTGTTATTTCTTGTTTATTATTATTAATATTATTATTATTATTATTATTATTAACGTGATATTATTATCATTATTAATTTATTATTTTATTTTAATGTTTGTATTTTTATTATAAATTTTAAATATATATATATATATATATATATATATATATATATGAGTATTTGATAGAAGAAATTAAAAAAAAAAAATTCAAATAACTGCTTCTGTAGGAATGTTTACGAATGCCATACCAGTAGCAATTTGTCACGGATGTAGGGTGACGTAGTGTGACAAGTAAGAGGTGGGCAGCCCCTCCCACACCACCTGGGTTGTGCCCCGCCGCCCTCTCACCATTGCATTAATTATTCATCCCCCACATTCCTTTTTGGCTTTTATTCATTATGTTAATTAGCAGCTGGTTGGTGAGCGGTCAGGTGTCGCTCTCTGCATCCATCCTGCTCTGTTCTTGTTTACCTCCGTTGTGTAAAATTTTTCCTTCTTTAAGGTTCAGAAACAACCACCACAAGTTTTGCGATGAATGAAACTTTTAGGCGACATATAGTAAATTCTAGTGAATGTCGTAGGTATGTTTACTAGATTATGCTGCATGTCTGCTTACTAGAGAATGTCGTAGGTCTGTTTACTAGAGAATATTAGTGTATGTCGTAGGTCTGTTTACTAGAGAATATTAGTGATGTCGTAGGTCTGTTTATCAGAGAATATTAGTGTATGTCGTAGGTCTGTTTATTAGAGAATATTAGTGTATGTCGTAGGTCTGTTTACTAGTGAATATTAATGTTTGTCGTAGGTCTGTTTATCAGAGAATATTAGTGTTTGTCGTAGGTCTGTTTATTAGAGAATATTAGTGTTTGTCGTAGGTCTGTTTACTAGTGAATATTAGTGTTTGTCGTAGGTCTGTTTATCAGAGAATATTAGTGTATGTCGTAGGTCTGTTTATCAGAGAATATTAGTGTATGTCGTAGGTCTGTTTATCAGAGAATATTAGTGTATGTCGTAGGTCTGTTTACTAGAGAATTTTAGTTTTCATTTTTGTTATTTGTGATGTCTTATACCTCACCAGCCTGTAATACCCTCCTTCATACTGCAGTTTTAATAAACAACTTTTTAAAATTTCCCTTGTGTTTATCTTAGTGAAGGTGATTATTTATGGTTCTGGAGGTCATCCTTCACATAGATCCTGGTCGAGTAAGTTTTGTTTCAACTTGTATTCCACTTTCCTCTGAACTGTCACCGTGTAATAACTAGCGACAGGAGTCACTTCATTTTAGTTATCGAACATTAAAACAAAAATAATAGTTTTACACGAGGTAAATAATATATATAAATGGTTTTTATATAACTATATTCGGTGATTTTATTTTATTTTAATGAATAGATAAATAAATATATTGTTTATAACCTAAATTAACACGACACTCGTTATAAAATATTATATTTCCTAGAGCGATGTTGATGATCAGATCACCAGGTGATGGATGAAAGTGCCAGGGGACGCAGCACTCCGTGCCTGCACCACCACACCCACACCAAGGCGCCGCCACCACCCTCACTCACACTGGTCCTCACCCGAGCCTCCTCAGCCAGAGCTGCCACCCACTCTCGAACTGTCGCATATTTGGGTAGCTTTTGTCGCTGAGATGTGTGTAAATAGCACTTCTAGTACACTGGGACACGTCCACGGGAGGCCACGACAACTCTAAGAGATTCACACCAGTTGTAACTACTCGTGGACCATAACTACAACAGGTCCGCGTGGCTCGTCTACTGCGGTAAAGCTTCATACTTCAGCCGCCTGTAAAGACCGAGAAAAGGGTTAGTTTTACAAGACCTTCATAACAAATTTTTACATTGTCTTGTAACGTTTGACTTGCTCAGAACTTTACGTTATAATAAAATTAACATATAATTATTATTTTACGACTAAAATTTTAAGTGAAATAAACAAGACTTAAAGGATGTTATGCACTACATAGGAATAAAACTGAAAATTACCTTTTAGGGTGATCCGGCAGGTTTGATGGGTGTCGGGTTGAGGTGTTAGGGCCAGGTCAGGTCATGCTGGCACCTCACGTAGTAGGGGCGCGGGGAGAGAGCACCACGACAGTGTGACAAGTGTCCTACAACACACTCACTCCATCAATAGTTCTTCACTATCCTAGCGCCCCAACTGACTCTGGACGCTTCTTCGTCGCTCTCGGGAACACAATAGCCCGAGTCGACGACTTTTACGTCCCTTCTCAGGAACTCTCGACGAAGTCCATGTCCTCCTCGGAAGACGAGTCTCCGTCACTGGTGCCCAAGGCGTCCTCAAGATCGTAAATGTAGTCGATGACAGACTGGATCAATTCTAACTTGGTCACAGGACGATCCTTGGGACACAGGGGAACCAGGTGCTGCAGGCGCTCCAGGTACATGAGCACTTCAGCACCCTCAGTCTTTGGTGGGGGTTTGTGGACTTTGCCTTCCATCACCCCCATTACGGCCTGTACGGGTGAAACACATCGTTGAGCCCTCATCTTCATTCACTCGGCAGAGTATATCACACTAGTAGTAACTGTTGCTGCTCGCTCACAGAGACAGTAAGGAAATTGTGCCGAATGAAGCTGATCCACCGGTATATATGCGCCAGAGTTGGCTAGGCTCCTCCTCCACATCAGCTCAGCCACTCGGAAGCGTCGCAGCCGGGTGTGTGGTAGGATGCTAAGCATGGAATTTATTATATTTAATTAAACATCTTACAATGCAATGTTTCGTGAAATGTACTATTCAGACGACCATTTAATAACATATTAATAACATATTGATATAGAAGTACGTTATACATTAATAAACAAATAATTAAGTTACATCAACGGAAGAGCGCGAGACGACAACATTGGTGGGATCTGGGGATGCAGCTGGCTGCTGGGTGACGTTGGTGGTCTGCGTCAATACCGGTGGTTGCCCTGTCGCACATCTGGCCTCATCTGTCCACCTTGGCCAGGTTCCCACGGGCCTGTACAGCTGACCTGACTCGACCTGCTTGCCCGTTGCCTACCCGTGACGACCCCTGCCCACACAACCCGACTCCTTGACTTCCTCCTTCACTACTTCCGCCGAAGCCAAGATTGACACCGGCCTCCATCCCGCGCATGTCAGGGGTAAGTTATGTTTTAATGAGCACTTGCAAACAATGAAGGGATATCGTGATAAACCGTATGAATTATAAGGCATTAGGCGACTGAGAAACCTAAATATGACACATATCTGTTTCATGTGATTGGAAGTTATATTGCTCCACTTCATGTTACGCCAGACAGATGGCGCCTTCCCCACCCGCCGCCTCACTATCCACGCCCACTGTTACTTCTTCCCCCTCCTCCTCACTTATACACAGGATATACGTCTCTCATATTCCCCGTATCTATCTATCTCTCCTAATGATTTGTAGTTTAACAAAGCCCCGTTGTCTAAGTATTGTCTAGTATAGGATATACTGTATGTTATATAAAACTAATATGTCGGGGGTCAATTTACTGTATAGAGTATAATGTGTAATAATGATAATAATAATAATTAACGGCTTGTTAACACATACAGCAGCCATAATCTGAAAATACACAAATGACATAATTTGTACATATAAGATTTTTAATGACGGAGGGATAATTTAGCAAGGAATTTCAGCACAGAACATAAGAACATAAGAATGAAGGAAACTGCAGCAGGCCTATTGGCCCAACCCCTGTCGCTCATACAGTATATTGATTCTGCCCAACCTATATATGAAACTTCGCCACCACACACAGACCTCTCCCTCCCTCACCACCACATACAAGTAAGCATTAATCTGCTTCATAACCTCACCACTTTTAAACATATTCTTCTACTGTATTTCACCTCAACAACTCCCCCTCTACACTCCACAAAATCCCCCTCACCATCCCCACCACACACAGTTACGCCCTTAAATGCACCCCCATCAAGTGCGAGGGGCGGAAACTCATCATTAACATGAATTTGGCAAGTGTTGTCCCTCCCTCCCTCCCTCCCTTCCTCCCTCCTCCCCCACTCACATTCCCCCCTGCTTGTGACATATGTTGACTACCTTGTGATAATGAGCTTTCCTATAACACTGTCTCACTAATCAACGATAACGATTCCGCTCCGATAACACTGACCGGTCAACGATAACGATCCCTCTCCGACAACACTCACCGGTCAACGATAACAACCAATCTCCTTGGCTGATCTTAGAAATAACACCCGCACATATATTGATCACTACCCGCCAGGCTTCAGATGTTATTAGATACAGTGGCTCTACTGAGGAATGTTATTTGATATTTAATTGATATTGAAACAGTTTATTTAGCCAGAAAAGTACAGATACAGAGTGGACAATAATAACAATATTGACAGCCTGAGCTCTCTTAGAAGCACCTGATAATTATATACTGTACATTTATCTCAGGGAATAGTAAACGTAACATGGTGTTAGTAAGAACAAATGAGAATGTTAATACGATTTTTACGTCGTTATTTATTTTTATTTTTATTTTTTGACAAGTTTTACATTTTGCATTAGTTCGTTATAAAGGACGACTATGAGCTTTGTGAGGTAATGATGTGTGGCCTTGGTGATGATAGTGTCATCTTGGTGATCCCAGGTCCTGGTGCCATGTGCGGTGATCTCATGATATCTTGGTAATTAGCGTTTGGAGTCTTGTGTGTGGTGGCTTACCTTTATTTGCTGTGATGGCCTCTTGTCTCGTGATCTCTCACCAGGCCTCTAAGGATTTCCAATCCCTTAGTTAAGTATAACGTGCATCCCAAGTTTACAAGTCACTTTCTTTAACAGAAGTACAGTAAGTGATATTGTAATTTGAGCAACATAACGAGTTATGTGTGTGGAACATAGTGATTGTCGTTTTTTTTTTTTTACGGAGATTAGCCCACATCACTAACCCACATTAGGGCCTGGGGGGCGAAAATGTAATAATAATAATAATAATAATAATAATAATAATAATAATAATAATAATAATAATAATAATGATAATAATAATAATAATAATAATAATAATAATAATAATAATAATAATAATAATAATGATAATAATAATAATAATAATAATAATAATAATAAAGAAATACAAAAATGAAAAGAAAATCAAAAGTGAGAAAAGATATATGTATGTTGTGTTGTCAATGGTAAGAGAAACAATTGAGACCCTGGAATTGCGTGTAAATGAGGCAGAAAGTCAGATCAGCCACCTGGGACTTGGTCACAATTTTCGTGATGCCATATGGCAGCAGGGTCTACCATTAGACAATACATTATGCTTCCAATATCTTCCCAGGCGGTAGTACCTCCCTGCTTGGTAGCTGCCTTGACTTTTATTTGTGGTTTTGATTTCATTGCCTTTTGTCTATTTGCACGTTTGAGCCGTCACATTTAAAGGTATTAGTTTATTTAGTTATGATTATGGTTTTAGATTTGTTACTTGGGCTGACATAATTTGTGACTTTCTTAACGATAGTGATATTATGTTATTCTGTATCAATAACTTCCGCTTCTATTATGCTTGTTGATAGTTGTTTGTTTTGCTGTTTCACAAATGCCCCGAGTTTACTAAAGAGTTAATAATAAAGTTAATTTGTATTATGGTTTTTGCTGCCCTGCATATTACCAGACACCTGTCAACCACTTTAATTGTTTAGCTATTTTGAAGTTTAATTATTATTAATGTTTTCAATTTGAAGTAATGAAAGGGTTTAATGAAGAAAGTTAAACATGAAAATTCGTAGACCGATAATTTGTAATAAAAGGTAAGAGTTTGGGCACTAAAAATCCATTTTGGGTTAGGTTAGGTAATAGTGTGTCAACATAATGCTATTTTAGTCATCTTGGTGTGGCAGTTCTTACTTATGCTATGCTATTGTAAAATGTGGTGTTGTTCATGTGTGTGTGTGTGTGTGTGTGTGTGTGTGTGTGTGTGCAGCCTTAATGCTCTCACGAGGTGGATCTGGGTCCCTCTTCTTCCTCCCCCTCCTTCCACTCTCTCTTCCGGCTCCCCCATCCTCCCCCCCCATCCCATCCCCTCCCATCCCTCTCTCACCTTCACCTTCCCCTCCCGTCCTTTTCTCATCCTGTGACCCCAACCTTTCTCCCTGCCCTTCTCACTAGTACCTAACAGGTGTCTAGTGGTCAGGCAGGAATGTCATTCATTGTGAAGGTAGCGGTGGAACACCTGCGTAGACACCGTTTGTTCCAGAGCGCCCACGGGTAATTATGGGGACAAAGGAAGCCCCCATAAATCCTGCTCCCGCTCTCCTAGTGTTATTACAGAAAATAGGTGTCTGGACCACCTTTTTATGACCATACTCACTCTTACGTAATACATCCTAGACCACCAGAGGGTCAAGACCTATCGGGCGCCCGCTTCTACTGTGGCAGCTGCCTCGACCAATGTTGGCCCATCCCACAAATCCCACTCCTCGACCCATCCCACAAATCCCTCTCCTCGACCCATCTTCACAACCGGGATATCAACATAATCCCGCCGAAATTGACAATTTCATTTCGGAAAGAAGTGGGAACAGTGTTGAACAGTGATGAACAGTGCTTAAACCAGTGAATTCAGCACTAGACAGTACCAGCGAGAGCTATGACTCACCAGTGAGGTCCCAACCAGAGATAAGCACCCCTGGGTACCGAACACCTTCTGCCAGTGTATGCAATGGCACAGCACTTTATCTTTGATGACAAGATAGCTGATATACTAAAACTGTATCCACACTTCGCATCTAGTACCTAATCAAAATTCTATGTACCGACTTAAACAAACAAAGTACTGGAAATACTCTGTAACATTCATTGTCATATGATCAAAATCACTGGGGTCTGATAACATAAGAACATAAGAAAATAAGGAGTCTGCAATAGGCCGGTTGGCCTGTGCATGGCAGCTCCTGTCGAGAGTTACTACCACTCTCAGTCATCCATGAATCTATCTAGCCTCCTTTTAAAACTTTCCAGCGTTCCAGCACTTACGATAAAGTTGCTAAGCTTGTTCCACTCGTCCACCACCCTATTTGTGAACTAGTTCCTTCCTATCTCCCTCCTAAACCTAAACTTATCCAACTTAAATCCGTTGCTACGAGTCCTATCCTGCTCGGATATTATAAGAACTTTATCTATATCCCCTTTATTGATTCCTTTCACCCACTTAAATACTTCTATCATATCTCCCCGCACTCTTCGTCTTTCTATGGAATGCAAGTTTAGTTTCTTTAACCTATCCTGATATGGAAGGTTTCTAAGTCCCGTAATCATTTTCGTCATTCTTCGCTGCACCGAATCCAGTGAATTGATATCCATTCTATAATAAGGGCACGAGAACTGAACCGCATAATCGAGGTGAGTCCTGACTAGCGCAAGATATAGTTGCAATAAGACCTCTGCACTCTTATTACATGCACTTCTAGATATAAAACCTAATACTCTGTTTGCCTTATTTCGAACATTAACGCACTGTTTTCTAGGCCGTAGGTCCGGGCTTACAAGTACCCCTAAGTCTCTTTCACAAGTCGACTTCTCTAGGTTGATGTTGTTAAGGTT